GGCGAAGAAAAAGATAGATCCTGGAAAGAGTTGATGCATAACACAAAGAAAAGGAAGACAAACGAGATCCGACGGTGATAGAAGCAAGAAGCTGCGGCGGCATAAGGGTTTTCGATTTTATTTTTATTTTTTTTTTTTGTAGAATTTCAGTGTATGAAAATGGGATAGCCTGTGAGGTTAAGATTTTGAAAACTGAAAATGTGAAAAGAGTAAATGTCATATAACATTAGAACTAATCATTTCGATTGCAATTCTCTGAATTCTCTGATTTCCAGTCTACAAGGAGTAAGAGATGCACTACCCTGATTTTAATTAAAAGAGAAATTATCATATCTTTGTTTGTTTTTTATTTTAAGTAAAATTATAAATTTTAAAAAATATTGATTACAATTTTTTTAAATTGTTTCTCATAAATACTCCCTCCATTCATATATATATATATATATATAGGGTATTTTTTAAAATCTTATTTTATCTCTAAATATAAGTGATGTTATCATATTTTTAAGTAATTAAATAATTTTATACTTGTCTTAAAAATAAAGGAGATATTATTTGTAAGCTTTACCCAACACTACCATGACATTAATTGACGTTATTGGCAAGCGTGGAGACATGGGGACCAACAAGGGCCATGGCCTTCTAACCTTTTAATTTTTTCTTGATAAATTGTAGGGATTATATATTTTCAACTCCTAAATTGACACATTATAGAAGCCTCAAGACCTTAAATGAAATTCTCATTTTAAATTTATAGTAATATTTTACGCATGTATAGTTCAACTGCTACAATAACTTAAAGATATAGTTATTATAGGATCTATTTATTTTCAACAAGATAACATTATATTTGCTCTTAAATAATTGATATCATTTAATTTTGCTTTTTATATTTGATGAAAGAAATTATACGAATCATGACTACCAAACTATAGAAAGTATTGCAACAAAAATTTCAAAATATATTGAATGAAAAACATATCAATTGAAATAATTAATAGTAAATTTAATGAGCAAATAATAGAATTTTTTATATTGAATGAAACTTTAGATCCCAATTATGAATTTAAATTGTTCAATACTTATGAAAAAAATAAAATATTTACCAATTTAATCATAAACATGATAATTAATTATTCTTACGCCATAAAAATTAATGAAAAAAATTAATATATATATATATGGTTAATATGCAATTTAAACTCTGAACTATAAGTTCAAGGATAATTTAAATCCTAAACTTTTAAAAGATGTATTTTAAATTTTAAATAATTAAAGTTAGAGCAATTTCACCCTATCATTAAATTTAACAAATATTCATTAGTTTTTTAAAAATTAGGGCTTGATGTGCAATTTTTACCAAATTTCACTCTCAATGTTCTCCTAAAATAAGGAAAATTGCACATTAAGCTCAATTTTGATGAATATTTATTAAAATTTAATGATGGGGCTAAATTATTTCAATTTTAATTGTTTGAAGTTCAAAATATATCTTTTAAAAATTTAAAGTTCAAATTATTCCTGAAATCATAGTTTAGAGTTTAAATTGCATATCAACCTTATATATGTGTTTGTCTAAATTGAATATAAATATATAGGTTGAAATATTTATGTTAAGTTGGTGACATATATAAATTTAATTTTCTTTCAATTATCATATATGCTTTGTTCTTTTAGTCTTCCTAACAAAATTTTCTAGCTTTGCCCCTCATATTAGGGAAAAATTAGAAAATTACTATGATTTAATGGGACTTTAACTAAATAACAAACTTTTATTAATATACATAATTATATTAAAAAATATCTCATGTATATAGACGGGTGGAGTAGATAGTATCATTAAATTAGAGGGGAAACGTAAACATTAATTATAAAAGCATTTTACTCCAAACATTGTAATTTTAGATATAATTATTATGAATGACTAATTTTCTTAAAGTGTATAAGTTAGTTAAAATTTTTCAACATTCAAAATAGATGAAGTATGCCAATGGCTTTGTAGCCTGATAGCATAAGAACTCTCTTATAAGTGAAAAATCGCAGGTTTAATTTCGCTTGTAACTCTAAACTGTTAGTGCCTACCTCAGTAATTAATTAAAAAAATGGATGAAGTATTGTTAAAATTGGTTAAACACTCTAAACAAAATGGTTTCCTCTCCTTACTATAGTATTATTAAACTTTGTTGAATTAGTAAATTATCATGCTTGTCTTTCTGTCAAAATAGTTCAAATTAGTTAATGAGACTTAACTTGAGATTATATATCTTCAATTCATTCATTAATTATATTAATCAATGTTAGAGTTTTCAGTACATTCAAATTACCTTATGAAACATCGAGATTGAGATACCCTTGCTCATGTTAGCTGATCTGTATTAAAAATTAGATGTAAAAAGTTCTACTTTGATAAAGACACTCATGTCACATTTGAGTATATCTTATTAGCCCCTGTAGAAGTTTTTCAGGCCGAAAAAATAAAGAGCCATTACAAGAGTTTTCCTTCATGTGCCATGATTTAATTTAAAATATGAACAAAAAATTTCTAATTAAAATCAGTCAAAAGTTATCCTCGATTAAAACATATAATATTCAAATAGGATAACAAACTTAATTAAAATGTGGCCGTGTCATCATTAAAAAAGAGAAAAAGAAAAGAACCGATTTAGAAAGTCAAACTGGGGAGTGGGTGAAGAATAATGAAAGGAGGTGGTTGGAGTCAAAGACAAATGGATGCGGCATGCTGTGTACTTTCATTGAAAAGGCTAATTAAAAAGAAAAGAAAATTAATAAAAATTGGGAAATTAAAGCAAATAAAAAACCCCATAGGCATCCAATTATTGAAATGATTTTCCCCCCTTCACTCGTCCGTTTCTTAACGGGAGAATGATAGACAGATTTTGAGGGATTAATTACTTCAAATTAAATTTTAACTGATTTTTAAATTTTAAATTTTAGAGATTTATAAGTTTGTGCTCTCAATTTTATAACTTCATCATGATGAATTTATAATTTATTTTTAAAATTTTATAAAATTATAAAAATAAATTATAAATTCATAGCAATGAAGTTATAAAATTAAAAGACGAACTTATAAATTCTTAAAGTTTGACATTTTAAAATTGGTTGAGATTTAATTTAAATTAATTGATCTCCTTAAAACTTATTTATAATTCTCCCTTTCTTAATCAGATCTTTTACTTTTTAATCTCCTCCTCATTTAAAATAAATAAACTCACTTCATCATTCTCTCTCTGTCTTAAAATAATTTCCATTAAATCATTAATTAAGTTATAATAAATGTTTTAGATCATTTTATTCATATTTTTAACATAGCTAAAATATCTTCATAATCCTTCCGTTTAAGTTTGGTTTGCCTACTGGCTGGTTAAAAATGAAAAGGAAAAGAGTCGGTGATCAATCAATGCCATAGGGTCGAAATCTTTTCTCTGTGTTGTTTTATCGTACAGGCATCTTTTTTAATAGAGGTAATTTTATTTAAGACACATTTGAATATTAAATATAGATACTGTATAAATGCGAATTTACACTTTAATTCATCGTGCAAGAGAGGGATCCCTTACTATAGACTTGACTCTTGGTTTCTAAAATCTTTTCCCTTAACTATTGCATTTCCGACCAAGAAACAAAAAATTTAAGGACTCTGAACATCTTGTAGAATCAAAATAATGACGTTATCCTGATCTCTTTGGGATCTAAATCTTATGAAATGACAGCGATAATCATTCCAAAAACGAGTTTTTTGGTAATCAGCGAAGAGATTAACTGACTAGGTCAACCAGACCATGCACAGTTAATTGTGTATATATATATATATATATATTGGGGGAGAAGGATTCTCTCTAAGAGATCAAATTTTGACTGTTCAATAATCCTAATCCACTGATTAAAAATTAGGAAGAGAAGAGATTCCTCACCCTTCCTTTCGTGGTAATACTGGTGGTAAGCTATACGTCTTCTTATACGCAATTACGCATAGAATTAATAATCTCAAGCATGCGAGACTATAATAATTAATTACATCACATGTCGCGCAATAACAGAGATATAATCTGTAGCCTTGCAAATTATATATGTATTAATTAGACTAAATTCCATAAAGATGCCTTATTGGAAACATTTTTTAGGTATTTATTTAAACCCATTTACTAATGACTCACTATGAATTATGAATCGGTAGTTGAAGATTTGAAGTCACACTAAATAAAAAATTGAAAATTTCAATTCCTTCTATTTTTATTTAAAATGAAAAAAAATAAACCCACTCGGCAGATTTTATTTTTATTTTTATTTTCGGCCAACCCCACTCGGCAGCATTGATAGCTCAACGACTTGGAATTTTAAACTCTCTACGCTCTTGGATTTATGTGGATACAAAATAAAATGTCATGTAATTTGTTCATGAATATACATTTGTTGCTTACCCACCCGTTAAGTTTTCTATTTCTGAAAAATGAACAACAGTTTAACTACACACATACTAGACTTAGAGTTTGTAATACGAATTGCCCGTTAACAAGCAGCAAGTTGGATAACATGCAACTCGATCAAATACAGCTCTGTTTTGGCTCAAACTATTTAACTTGAGTCAGATATAAGCTAACTTGCCAACCCACCAAGTGCAAGTTAGGATGGAAAAATTCAAGCCTACCAAGGAGCGGGCTTTTTTAGCCTGCACCCACCAACCTAAAGCTCGCTATAGGCCGACCTGCAACTCATAAGTTGACTTATTTTTTTAATCATATTCTCAATCTTTTATTTTTGTTTTGAATTTAAACTCGTCATTTTTTTTTACTTTTAAATTTTTTTGCACTATTCAAATAAAATGTTTTAAATATATAAATTTTAAATATGAAATTTTAAATTTAAAATTTAAAATCTAAACATTCAAATATTTTAAATTTGTGCTTTGAGAAAATAACTTGAAGATGACTATATGTAACATCACGTCTTTTAAAGCGAAGGAAGGTTTCTTTTGTTTTGTTTACTATAACCCCTTGAACTGGAGGGCCATGACTACTCCATGTACGAAGAGACATTCAAGCTAGCATTCACTGGCTCACTTTTGCTCTTCTGAAACCAAACATGCCAAACACCATCATATATTTGGGGTCGGTAGGTGTGAAATTTGGAAATTTAAACCGTCTAGATTTTTTTATTTTACATTTTCTAAACTAAAAAATTATATAAATTCTAAAAAATTAATAAACATGTTTACCAGCCTAAATAGTCTATATTCAATATTAATGGTCCACATTTAATTTATGAAAATTATACAAAAACTAATGTTAAACCTGTGCTGTATAGAATATATTTGGAAAATCAATTTATGAAAAATGTGATATTAAATATAGACCATTCATACTAAATTTGGATTGTCTAAATGGGTGAACCGATTTATTAAAATTTGTTACAATTTATAAAATTTTTATTTTAAAAATATAAGATAAAAAAAATTAAATCATGAGGTTCCATACCTCCTCACCGGTGGCGCCGAGGCAAGGAAGCCAACTCCCATATAGTCCTTCACGAGTACCAGTAAAAGCCTTCTGTGGATGAAGAAATCGTTGAGGTATTTCCCTTTGGCTAATCACCTTGCTTGTCCCTTGAGCGTACCATATGAAACTTTGGTAGGTGCATCCTGAAATGCTCAGGGACATACACCATTCCAAAAGATTCTTCATAATTAATTGTAAGAATCTGACCAAACAACATTATTGCCTATGTAAAATCAATTACGGCTCTACATCACCTTCCATTCCCCAGTAACATCACCAACAACGAAGTTTCCCTACTCCTTACACAAGTTAGAAGAATATTCAAGAATCTGTACGATCCCATTCAGGATCATACAATGCTCCTGTATTGTAGTTAACAACACATAATTTAACAGACGCAATTTTGATCACAAATCATTTGCAAGAAACAGAACACAGCCATGATGCAGAACAACTGATACAACAATACAGCCAAGATAGGGAAGAGTGAACTGAACATATCGATAAGCAAACAGCAAGCTGTGGCAATTCTAACAAGTCTTTCAAGTGAACATGAGCATCATGATTTCATGCCAATTAAATTTTTGTGCTTGAATGTAAAAAATAAACTACAGCTCATTAGCTCAAGTCAATAGCTAGAAGCAAGGGTAACATACTGACTTCCCAGCAATAGATGGGATTCTGAAGTTTGGCAATGGAATGGTAAAAGTCTGTCCCTGTTAGAAATGCGGATAAATTAATGAATCCTTCAAATATCTTGTCCGCATCATTTTGCTCTGTCCATGGTAATGACAGCTGATCATATGTTGTATCATTAACGTATCATGTAAAGGTAACATATAACAAAACTATAGGTTCAAAAACTGTAATCATATTGTCATAAGCACTGAAGAACAGCATTTGTCCTGTTACTTTCCCCAAGTACTATAAAAAAGGGAAGACACTGTTTATCAAAGGAATGCCATCATAAAACAATCCATGGGTTCACCGCTAGCTCTATGATTTTCTAATCCTGCTTCCCAAGAGCCATAAAAAGAACTAATTGGTTTCAGCAGGACTGATGAAAAGCAAAAAAATATCGAGAATAGATGTTCATCAAAGTTTCAATAGCACATTCTCACCCAGAAGCAGAGATTCTGTAGATGGAAAACTCTAAACAGGAGAACGATTTGTGATTAACAGGAAAACAAAAACCTTAATCGTCCTCAAAAGATAGGATTTACATTTCCAAGGGAACTCTGACGACAATGTGATCAGCAAAACTGAAATCAACCCACGAATGAAAACCTACTGCCAATCATTTCTTCCAATCAAAAGTACATAAAAACTAGGAGAAAAATAGCAGAAAGAATTTCTTGATTCTACTTTCTGTGATATCTTTGAAAATTTATTTTTAAAAAAAGGAAGTAAAATGAAAAATGAATTCAATTACTTGTCTACTGATGAAATCACCAAAGATCCATTATGTGCTTGAACTATCGCTTTTCTTGGCTCTTGCAGACAATGCGCTTCGTACAATCCAAGCATTCCTAGTATTTGAATTTTCCTCCAATCTAGAGTCTTTATTACTCGGATGCTGAAACTGGAAATCTTCAAGCCCACCAGAAAGTGCAGAAAAATCCTCTCTCATTAACAAACTATTGTGCAGTATAGAACAAGCACCAATATAAGCCACTGCCATCTTCAGTTCTTCCTTTATAGGACGGCTCAAAACGCCCCAATTCTTCAAACTATCAACAGTTCTAAGAGCTGAAATGCGCATAAGCTTATGAGCAGAATTGAAATTCTCTTCATATGAACCAGGTAGAGATTCAGCAAAAGGAATCATCAACCATGGAAGAAAAGGAAAACTTGAATCTCCTATCAAATACTGATTTATAGCCACTCCATCTACGTCAGTTGCTGGAGAGTTCAATAGCTTCCCTTCTTCAATGTCTTTGTACAGAGTGGACGACATGAGAATTCTCGAATTGCTCTTATGGCCACGATACCCAGCGATAATACCCAGAATCCGACACGAGGAATCGACCACTATCTGGGCCGCTATATTGTCTTCGCACGATGTTTCAGAATTAACTACGTTAAACCTCGCACAGTCGATCACGCCACAGCAATTCGGCAACCCAGAGACGTCTTCAAAACCTCGCGATACAGATTCAATCTCGTGCGAGTTCGGAAAAGCAATCCAGAATCGGAAATTGGTACACAAAACCCTGCACAACTGCTTCACGCAAAACCTCGCCACCGACACGGAAACCCCGAATCGGCTGGAGATTTCGGCGTAATCGGAACCGCTGGCAAGCCGAAACAAGCCGATGCCGAGGCGGACACCGGCAGAGAGATTCAGAGGAAACAACTCGACCGGGTCGCGACACTCGAGCAATGGCTCCAGCAAACCAGAGAGCCACTCAAAAGTAGACGCCGTCATTCTGAAACAGCTCTTGAAAGAGTCAGGGCTCCGAACCACAACCCCAATTCCAATACCACTCGGCGGGTGCTCATCAATCGGGTCAGGCTCCGGGTCAACTCGCTTGCGTTTCTTGTTCTTGGAGAAGGAGAGGGAAGCGGCGATCTCTTGGGAAAAAAGAAAGTGCTGGACGAGAGGGAATGCATTGAAGTGGGGATTGGAATCTGAGGAGGAAGAAGAAGAAAATGAAGGGAAGAGAAGGAGGATGAGAAGGAGGAGCTGAGAGATGAGGGAGGAAAGTAAAGCTGCCAATTTGCGAGATTCCATGGCGGCTTTTTGTCGGGGAGTGGATTTTTTTGCTGTGATTTTCGGAAATCGAGGTATGGATAATGGTGGGTGAATCAGTAAAGAGCGAGATACAGGGACACATCTGGCGTTTTGATTAGTCCTATGTATTCATTCGCTTTGATGAAACTTCCATTTTTGGATGCACGTCAGTGAATTGCAGGCTTTGGAAGATTCTATTTGCACGTGCGCTTGACATCTTTCGCGATGAGACGAACAGCCGTACTATACTGCTATTCGCATTTCACCTCTTTCTCTTCTTTATGCATCATGAAAATTGACCCAGATATTTTCATATTTTCAAAACATATTATCAGCTAGTAAAGTACTCGTGTCATAAATAGATATGAAGAATAACTTGCATCAGATATCTTCTGCATACCATCCTGTATGTAATGAGGTTGTCTAATTATAATGGTCAAATTAACAATCAACTTTATTAAATTGTTTGAATCATCGAGTAAAACATCAGCTGTGTTTTTAATATCTACAAATTATTTGTTAGTTCCAACAACAATCTCATCATCAATTGAGATAATCTTGTTTGAAAATTCTTGAAGGACATTGATAGGTGTTTCATTATTTGTTGTTAAAGTCTCATGCATTGTTAGTGTAACAATTTAAAAATTATTTGAGAATAAAATGTTAATAGCAACAAAAACAATATCTTCTCTTAACCCACCTGAAATAATAGAGAGGCTAGATTTTTTTTTAGTCTCCACCAATCATAACAACTTTTCTTCTAAAAAGTAGATAACTAGCTAATAGGTTGTTTAATTTTTAAAATATCCTTTAAACATATGTCAAGAGTTTCAAGATAAAATTTATGCTCTATTGAAGCCTCATCCCATACAATCAATGACGTAAACCAATAATTCAACCAAATGACTCTTCTATTTCATGTTACATATAGTGTCTTCGGTGATAGAAAGAGGAATACAAAACTGTGAGTGAGTTGTCAGTCCTCTTGGGAGCAGGGGTGGAGAAAGGGGAGACCGACAGGGGCTACAACCACGCCTAACTTTTTAATTTTTTTAGTAAAATGTAGAAGTTATATATTTTCGGCTCCCATAAGTTAGCACATTATAAAAGTTATGAAACACTAAATGAAATTCTCATTTCAATTCTATATATAGTCTTTTATGTATATACAGAGCAATTAATTCAATAGTTTAAAGATATGGTTGTCATAAGATCTACTTATTTTTAACGAGATAATGCTATACACATTTTTAGAGTATTGATGTCATTTTATTTTACTTTCATTTTATATTTAATGAAATAAATTATGAGAATTATTATTAACAAACTTTGTTAAGTATTATAACAAAAATTTTAAGATATATTGAATGTTATGTGCTTAATATATATCATAAAATCATTTGTCCAAAAGTTAAGAGGTTTGATGAAGATGTTCTTATAAAAAAAATTATTTTTTTTAAATAATTAAGCTATTAAAATTTATGATATGAATGGTTTTTACTCTGATATAATTTGATCTCATTGACATAAAAATTTTATGACAATTGAACATTATATATAAATGATAAATATCCCAAACCTAATCCCGAACTTGAATACTCTAGTTCATGTACATATAAAAATAACAAATCATCACGAACCTAACTTTAAACCTAAATTCGAAGCATAGAATAATAAAAAAAGCATTTCAAAGTATAGAATTGAAGCATACCTATAAATAAATACTTCCTTTTTAAAAAATATAAAGGATTTTTAACTAAATCTTACTCTCAATAAAGTAGTTACCTACTCTCAAACTAACCCTATCTTTTTATATTTACCTCTATTAAATACTTTACAATAAATATAAAATCATTCAACAATAGGGGCACTTTTAAAAAACAGACAACGATTATATTTTGAAAGACTGAAAATATTTTTTATTTTTTAAAATTTAACTCCTCAAAAAATACCTAATATTTTTTGAATGAAGGGAGTAGGTGGTATTCATACATAGTCTTTTATCTTACTTTTATGCATATAATAATTTATGGGTTGGTAATTTACCATAAATTTAAAAAATTTATTTATATTCAATATTTTCGTTAAAGAATTATTAGGGATGCTAAAAAATACGGTACTATATAATGATTGGATTTAAAGCTTATAAAGTTGGGATTGGTAAATTTTTGTAAATTTTTTTTAAGAAAAAGGGAGAGGATTTTGTTTTTTTATAAAAATAATAAAATAAGTGAAAGTATTAAAAGAAATAACCTAAATTCACTAGTCTCAACTTCAAACGATTTGGTCCAAAAGGGAGAGGAAATGGATTTTATCTTGTATGGAAAGATAATTATACAAAAATAAAATATTGTTTGGAAAGAAAAAGAAAAGGAAACAAATGATAATTTGATTAGAATAACAAATAATACACACCACGAGTCAGTTCTGGTCAGTGCGTGCTATGGTATAGACTTGTAAAGAAATAAAAAAAATATAATTATAAGTCCCATTTAAGTTTTGTTATAAATTTTTATATTTTTTTTTAGTATTTTAAGTTTCTGTATTTTTATTTTTAGTAGAATGTCAAAAAAATTATAAAGATTTAAAATACTGAAAAAAAAGTGTAGGGATTAATATTTTTCCTGAAAAAATTTTAGAAGTTTTTTTTTTTGGCCAAAAGGGAAAAGAAAAGAAATTACAAATGTTCTGCTCATAGGATAGGCCCAAAAGCGTTCGAGAATTGGGCTTTATTGGACCGATATTTTGGTTGGATCATCGATCGTCCAACAGAAACTTTTAATCATAGAGTTATTCATGGCCCAAAATTCTTCTTCCCCCCTCCCTCTCTGTTTCTCTGCCATTTTGGGTAAACCTCCCCTCCGGGTTCCCTCCCTCCCTACCTCCCTCTCTCTCTTAAATGCCGACTGAGTGTTTTTTGGATGCTATGTGCCGACTGAGTTTTTCTTATTCCTTAAAAACAAGTTGAGAATGAAGAAGTCTAGAGATAAAAAAAGGCACAAGACTTATGAATGTAACATTATATATTTAATATATTTTTATCCAATCAAATCAAATATAAGATATATGAATTTTAATGTGTTAATAATATTAATTACAAAAATTTATTATATAATAAATAATTTATAAAAGATACATATGCTGTAATTTAATTAAAAATAATCATTTTAAATGTATAATGTTAAGTATATAAATTTTTTTTAAAGGAAATCATGGACCAAAGGATGTGATTAACCTGATAGTAATTGACAATTGAAAGTGAAAAAAAAAAAAGCAATTAAACTGTTAACTCTACTTTTCCAATTTGACTACATACCAACACATTTAGTATGCAAATTTCCAATTGCACAATATTTATAAAGTAGAAGAGATCTAAATCACACACACACACACATCAAAGATTTTTTAAAATGCGTATGTCTATTTAAAAACGGAGATTAATTGAAAACCATAGAATTATGAATCCAGCAACGCATATCTCTAAACTATTCATTAAACCGTAACAAAAATATTTAATTATACAGTTTTAGATGCATGATAATCGTCCGTGGCAGAGGTGGAAAAAACACTACCTGGGGCCAATTTTTTTTTTTTTAAATGATCACATATAATTTGTTTGATAACGTAAATTTTAATTTTTAATTTTTAATATTCATTGGTGTACGTTGTGCAACAAACCTAACTGATATGGGAATGGGCTATTTACAATTAGGAATTCAAGAATTAAATAAAATTATATTCAAGTGGATGGTTTTTTATTATTTATTTATTTATTTTTTTGGGTATAAGCGGTTGTCCATTTAGCATAGGTGGGTTGAAATTCAAAGTGATTGCTTGGGGGAAGACTGCCCGAAACTTTGGTGGCCCAAATTACAGCCCATGCATTTTTTCAAAACTTAATTTGAGTTTGGTCCTGATAACTCAAGCATGTCTCTAAATCACTTATAAATAGAGGTGTTTACAGAACAAGACAGGATCAATACACTCTTGTCCCGTGCTCCATCTTAAAAAAAAATTGAAATTAAATTTTTATTTAGTGTTTTGTCTAGTCTTAAAAGTCGTCTTGTCCTATTAGGAAATGATACAAAATTGATACAAGATTTAGACATCTCATTGTCCTGATAAATCGAATAATATCAAAGAAAAATATGAATGGTAATGTTCATTAAAATTATAAACCATATAATTTATTAAGTTTAAAATTAAAACAACATAAATACATAAATCACAATAATTTAAAATCAATTATTAAATTATATTATTCACAATTATACATTATGATAGCAATTAAGAATAATTTCTAAGCCATAAGAGTAGCAACAATAGGCAAGTTAGTACAATAACAAATCATTGTTTTTTCACTTTAGTTAAAATATGCTAAACTAATTACTCTTTCAAAAATAAAACAAAAATTATGATATAAATAAAAGTTATTAAATAGATAGATATAAGAATAAATTATATGAATATAATTAATAGATTATAAAGAAAGATATCACCCTATTTACTTTATATCATTAAAATTATCAATATAAAAAAATTTTTAGTTTTATATAAGAATTACATATATTGAAATTATAATTGATATAATTAATATAAGTATAAATTATATTAATATAATTAATGTATTTAATGTATATTTTTAAATAAAAAAATAATATATATAATATTCAGGACAGGATGGAACGTCTCAATGATAATCCTGTGTCCTGTCCTGCCTTGAATCTCTTTCCTATCCTGTTTCAATTATTTTCAAATTGAGACGAGACATGTCTCGATATGATCAGGATAATACCGAGCCAATCGAAATAAGTATCAGTTGAACACCCTTATTTATGAATATACTGACACATCATTGATTATGAACTCACAACTTTATAAATTATGAGCTAAATTTTGGTTAATTAAATTAATCTTTATTGGCATAACAATGATTAGATAAGGGAGGAAAAAATTAGAGAGAATACCAATGAAATTTTTTTGAAATAATTTAATATCTAATAAAGACTCTGGATTGATCAATAGTTGTTAAAATAATAACTTTAGTTCTTAATTTATTAATATTTACTTATTAAAAATCCT